TCCCAACGTCAGTGGCTTCATAGTAGAACATCGCACCGTTATCGCGAGGTCACGGGCTCAAACCCCGTTGAAGTCCTGATTTTTTTTTTCAGGCTTCTTTACGCAATTGCATAAATTGTGTTCACTGCGACGATCATTTCTTCATTTTCATAAATGTTTTTGCCCCGTTGATTTTGTTATGTAAAAACAATTAAACGGCGAAGTGTGTAACTATTGAGTTATGGATGTACTAAGAGAACTGTTTAAGGACTTGAATGATTCTTTATCAGGTACTTTTTAGACAGGGATGCCTTCAGTTCTCTGATTCCATATTAGGGCGAAAAAAGCGGGCTTCCGATTGGACGGCTAAAAAACCCCAGCATGTTTCTAAACAAATGATCATGAAAGGAATTTAGACGCTTCAGGGTTCTTCAGGGTTAAATGCGTGAGTATATGATTCTGGGGTACAGGCTACGGTCAAAAGATTGATGCTTCAGATCAAGAAACGGTCTAAATGCTATAACCACACTTAGCAGACGGGTAATCCCGTGTAGCAAAATTGCTTGTGACTTCAAAAATCCACGTCTTAACTTTAAGTATTACCCAGAAAGACCAGCTTTCCCCGCTTCAGCAGTTGTTATGATACATCCTCACACCTGAACATTAGCGTTAGGCCAAAAATTATATGTACTATGCCCGTAACACTGTGAAGGCGAATTAAGTGCAAGTCCATTGCACTGCCTTTAGTTAACAACTACATGACCTCATCGATTTGGAAAGGTCACATATCAAGCCCTGTGGATCATGTGTCTTATAGGGGTTGTCTACCGATGTATCGGCCGATATCTCAGTCGACTCGGCGGTCACATATGGGTAGCTACATCGGTCGAGTGTTGGTGGTGAGTCGGTCAAGGGTTAGTCGATACCGCACGATATATCGACAGCCATGTCGAACGACAGTCGACCGAGGTATCGCCCGTTAAATTGACTAAGTGTCGGTGATCCATCGGCGACGTAACGACCAACCATCGACCGACTGTCGACTGATGGAGTGTAGCAACCAACTCTCGTTCGCGACTCGTTCCTCCGAGACTCGACCAACGTACTCTCCACCGATATAGCGACCGATATGTCAACCGACAGTCGACCGAGATGTCGGCTGATGCATCGGTCGGCAATGCTATGTTCCAGAAGGAACACAAATGGAAAATCGTCTAAAACTGTCACATTTTAGCAATGGGGAACTTACGAAACTACGACGTCTACGGCAGCGGCAGCGTCAAAAAGTAATAGTTTTAGTTAGCAAAACAACGATTCTGCAAGTGCATCACGCTTTTTGAGACACTCCTTTGCCGTCCCTGCACGACTACCACGTGAAATGACCAAATTTTAAGTTTTTTATGGAGGACGGGAACGGCAAGGCGATAAATTCTACCATCTCTGTCTGCAATCGGGTAAGGCTCCTTTCTTCAGTTCCAACATAAATTCCCTTCTTTCAAGTGACTGGGTGTCTTGGGATAATCGCCAAGTGGTTTGAAAGGACGCGAAGTCAATTTTTCAGCGACGTTTCCATTGGCGTCGCCGTTGTGGGATCGTAAGGTCTCTACTGTTATTAGAGGGAGGGAGATAGGGAAAGATTTCCAGTCGCCTTGAGATTGGTAAATCAAATAGTTGCAAGTCTCGTTAGCCTCGTTTTCAAACAATCGGCTAGATGTACTTCACATGGTAACTAAGGAGAACTACTGAGAATTGGCTGTGAAAATTATCGTTCGTCAAATGAACCAACTCAATTACCTGCTCCCAGTTGGCTTGTTGGCTCAATTAGTAGAGCGCTGAAGCGTTATCGCAGCGAGATAAGGGCTTCGAATCCAGGACATAGCACAAGGACCACAAGCCTGAATTATTTAAGGCTTTCATTTCGCAAATGCAAAATTTGAGTCTAAAGCTCTGATGATCTTCTTAACGTTCGCAACATTTAACTTTATCGATTTCTTTTTCAGGGTGTTCTATATGATTGATCAATAAATATTGCTTCAGATTGGGAACTGTGCCCTTGGCAGTTGTTGTTTGGTGGCCAAGGAAGCAAAATATTGCTGTGAGTTTCGCATGCCCAAATGCCCAATAACCATGCAATTGCCAGTTCCCAATGCACAAAGCAACCTTCATTAAATCAGTTATATACATGTACCTAGTTTGACTTGTTACAGAAAGTTTTGTTACTAAGTTTCGTCCACTGGTAATCTCTAAATCAGCCTAATATAACATATCAGAGAGCCAAGAACTCAGGTATGGGAGCGCTATAAAAAAATGTTATCATATGATAATAATAAGTTTATCATAAGAAGTTTATTAACATATCCCAGATTGGGATTTTGAAAGTTAATTTACAACCATCAGTAGAAGACCTAATTACAATACTCTAAATATAAAAAACTACTCAAAACTATCAAGATGAACTAACATATAGATATGATCCTAAAAACATATTACATCACTCAAAGTATAGACGCCCAAAGTTCCCTACGGAAACGATGTTTAAAAAGATCAATGTTCATACTGTTCTTAGTGTCCTCGTTTCACTTATTATCAATATTATTATTATTATTTTATTATTATTATTTATTATCAGTAAACTGCACTTCTTGCCGTTTCGTGACTTTATTGCCTTTATTAAACATGCAGTCTGTTTTCTGCCTTTGCTAATATGTACTAGATACTGAATTGAGGTTTAAGGTATTTTGAGATGGATGTTTAATAAAATATTTAAAAACTCTATAGGTCAATTGATTAAATTCAGTAATATTAACTGAGGCTGAGGTGAGTAATTGTTTAAATTATACACACCAAGTGATCTAAAAACTGGCAAGTAGCATCACTGCTCAACCTATATTCCTTCGGTGAAAGTCCACCCAAACATTATTATGGCCTGATCGGACGCTTCTGTTATTGTGTGTTCTCAAACAGCGCGATGTGAAATGATAGACTTTTCTCTGAGCCTGTCGACGCAACCATCTAGAAATCTCGACCACTAATATAACGTATAATTAATCACTTTGTGTACGTTCAGTTCATTTCCTACGCTCTCTTCACTTCAAAGCTATAAGTGCTTGCCAAGCGAAGGATTCGCCCGGATCAAGTTTTCCGAGAGCTGACGTCACAAGATAATCAAAGCGTTTTCTGATTGGACGTATCCCTAACGACACACCCCCGTCACACCGCCGGCCAGAAAAAATAAACTGACCGGTCAAAAATAGCGTACTGTAGGCGAGAAAAGTTCGTTTCCCGACTGACCACCTTACCAGCAGAAACCAGAAACGGGCTTTGAGAAAGTCAAGATGAATTCTTGCGTGGACATGTAGCCGTAAACAAACAACGCGCAAAAGTTAGATCTGTACAGTATTTTCAAACATGGCAAATCATAGTTTTAATCTTTTTGTAAGCTTTAACTGTTAACATCCATGGTTTAAAAGAAAACGTCGAAAGTTTGAATTACTGCCCCTTCTGAGAAGAAACGTAGAGCTTTATTTGCTCCTGTCACAATGAATGAGAACGTTTTTATGTCTCTTCTTGCATACGATGTCAACAGCGGCTTCAATCAAAATGAGCGTTGTTTAATATCTGCAGTGTTCTTTGCCTTAATTCTTAATTTGTTGGTACGTACAATGTTCTCCATAAATTAACTTCTATTCATAGGCAAAAATAGTCTTGCGAGGAAATTCCAAGTTCACAAAATAGTCAGAAGGCGGCCTCGTTTTCCTCTGTAGTGGTAAACATTGCCGTTGGAGCGTATAAAAAGTCAGCTTCACTGAATCACTTCACAATAAATCGCGCTGTTTATACACCATGAAGTCTTTTCTTTAACCTTCAAAATCATCAAGACTAGGATATTCTTGTATTTTTAAAAAGTTCCGTCTTACTCTGAAACTTTGCCAAAACACCCAGTTTACGACAGCGATTTTGTTTTGCTTTATATTCACAGCCTAGCGCAGTGAATATTTAACAATTATTCCTCGAGCCCGAATGGGCTCTCAGTCAATAGCTATTGATTCAGAGGCCATGAGGGCGAGAGGAATAATTGTTTTAGTAAAATCCAACTAGTTGGTCAAAAATGTCGAGAATTAAGAAAAAATTTAGCTAGTTAAAGCGAGACTTTAATCCTTTTTTGCCGCCAAAAAGCCCGCGCTTTTCGCTACTAGTGGGCTATAACATATAGCCTAGTAGTAGCTCAACCAGTCAGAACGCAGCATTGATAATAGACCACTAGTTGGATTTTACTAAAACGTCATAGTCCGCGATAGGGAACCAATCAGATCGCTTGAATCACCAAGATCACTGAGTGTGTATATGCTAAAAGGAGATATGCCAATACTTGTTGTGTTTAGTGACTTCCACAATTGTGGAGATCACAATTAGGTGTACCTCTGAGGTAGTTAGCACATAATATGAACCGCAAGAAGAGAGTTGACTGTACAAAGTCTTTATGCATACCGTTTTCGATTTTTCAGAGTGCATCCCTATAAAGATCAATACTGAAAAAAGTAGGCAGATTCATACCCCTCCCTTCCTGGCACATCTTCTAAGTTAAAACTTCTGTCCATCGTAGATTATTTAGCAGCTGCATGGCGTTGATGGGCTCCAGTGTATACTTCTGATCACCGTGACAAGTCACACAGAAAACTGCATTGCTAATATATTAATTTAACGTATTATTTTGACTTCCTTGCAAGTTCTATTACCACTTTATTTCTCACTTGGTCTTCAAAACAGCTTAAAAAAAAACTACCCTCATATTAAGTTTCAAGAAAACTGTTTTTGCATGCCAACGCGAGTAGTACGTTGTGCTATATTTAAGTGCTATATAGATTTTTTTTTCTCCCTTTGCTTAAGTTATACAAATTCAGATATTGAAGTTAAGTGCACTTTTTTTATGTCATTATTTTTTTTCGTTTCTTTCTTTAATACAATGAAGCCTACTTAAGTGAAATGATAGAATATGTGATACTTTACTTGCACCTAGTTTT